TCTCGACTTACCCAGCTGGTACTCGTCAAGGTACTGCTGTTGACACGTTATTTGCACTGCAGGCCTCAGGGTGAGCACGCCTGCCTGGCTGGGGCACTCTCATACCCGCCCACCCGACTCGGGAGGCTCTTCAGCGGCTCTGTGGCCTTCCTCCCACGGGGCCTTACACTCTGCATCGCCAATCTGACCTGCCCCGCCACACTTCCGACTAGAAGGCAGGCCACAGCTCACTCACCAGTAGCTCCTGAACAGCCGTTTGCCTCCCTGGTGTCCAGCTCAGGGTTGGGACCCGAGTAGGCTTCCCGAATGCTTTCTAAACAGAACGGCTGTGGCGACACTCTGCACACCCACCCCTCATTCCAACCTCCCCCAGGCTCTCACCTGCTGCACCGTGGAGGTGAAGACCCTAGATGACCGTCTGCTCAACATCCCCATCAACGACATCGTCCAGTGAGTCCATCGGCCTAGTCACAAGAAAGGGCGGGCTGAGACTTGGAGGGGGGAGCCTGCGCAGGCTGCCCCCACAGAAGGGTCTCCCTCAGGCTCCCTCAAATCCACCCTCCTCTCCGGCTGAGCCGTGGGCTGTGCTCACCCTACAAAAGGGATGCCTTTCTCTAATATGTGTGAAGCCCCGTAGAGGCCGGGAAACCCCAGTGTCGGTCACTCCCTCGCCTCCATCCCCCAAACTTCTCATCAGGGTGTGCAGCAGTAGCCCCCAAGTCTTTGACCTAGAAAGGTCCCTCTCTGAGGGTTTGACTCGGCCCCCAGAGTCGGCTCTGCTTCTTAGGGAGTGTCGCACAATTCCTGGGGTGTGATGTTCGGAACAAGCCAGTCTCTGCTCCCACCTGTCCGGGCCCGTGAGACCTGTCCACGTACTGGGAAGCTGTAGTAGCAGCCTGTTCCTGCGGGCCTGTGAGGGAGTGGGGTGCGGACCCACTGGACACTCTGAGTCTCCTATGATCCTTTCTTTCATCCTTCCCTCTCTCAGCCCTAAGTACTTCAAGGTGGTGCCGGGTGAGGGTATGCCACTGCCTGAGGACCCTACCAAGAAGGGGGACCTCTACATTTTCTTTGACATCCAGTTCCCCACCCGCCTCACACCCCAGAAGAAGCAGATGCTACGCCAGGCATTGTTGACCTAATTCTGGGGCACCTGGACAGGAGCAGGGGTGGAGCGGACTAGCTGGGCCTCATCCACTCCCACTCACTCCACCCCGACAGCCTGTGAAGATGAGGAAACATGAGACCTTAGGCCGGTACAATAAAGATTCCTCTTCTATCCTCTATAGCCTGAAGTGTGCTGGAGAGAAGCTTCCCGCTCCATCTCCCTGTAGGCCCTCAAAAAGCTAGGCACCTCGGGCTGCATTTTGGCTTCCTAGGCGTGGACCGTTCCCCGAGGCTTCAGAACCTCTTGCTTCCATCTTGGTAACAGGGCGGGGCTATGTGACTGGCTCTGTCTAGGGTCCCTCCGCTCTTGACATTTCACAACATGAGTCTGTAGGGGGAACCTTCTAGGGACTGTCCTGTCTTGAGAAAGAGAGAGACAGGAAAAGCGAAGTACAGAAGGACAACACTCGTGCCTGCATTCTGGTGTCCATGGCTAAGCTGTCACAAGCCTCAGTTAGTCACATCGAGAACACAGTGCCTGAAGAGCTCTGCTCTACCTTGGGCTCTGGTTCCGCGTCTGTGAGACGGGTCTCAGGCTGCCTCTGGGCCAGCGGTCTGGGAGGCATGCCCTTGGGCTCTGTCCAGGTCTGCCCCTGACTCTTGCATTGGTTACTAATTCATCTTGTTAGTAGAGCTTACACCCTGCCTACAGGTGTGAGGACTGGGGTCACTGGTGTGGAAGCTCTTGGTAGGCTCATGGTTAGATTATAGAGAGGGTCACAACACCATTGCCCAGGTGGCCTGGAGGAGGTCCGACTTCCGGTGCAGCCAGGGCTGGGTGGCCCACACAGGTACTTTTAAAGTCATCAGCCCTGTGTTCCTCTTCCTGTCTGGGGTTTGAGTTTAGGCTGTGATGAGGTCTAGGCTCATGGGCAACAAGCGGGTTCAATGGCTTCCGAAATGCGAGGAAAACAAAAACAAACAAACAAACCCAGATTATCCACATTGCTTAGAATTCTGCCATTCACTGTGCCATGTTAGCTTAAGGATTTTTCCTTTTGGCTTTTCAAAAAAGTTTTTTGTTTGTTTGTTTCTCAAGATAGGGTTTCTCTGTATAACCCTGGCTGCCCTGGAACTTGCTTTATAGACCTGGCCTTGAACTCACAGATCCACCTGCCTCTGCCTTCTGAGTATTGGGATTAAAAGCATGAACTACCACACCCAGTTTTTGTCCTTTTAAATTTTGAGGCAGGGTTTCAGGTAGCTGAGGCTGATCTTGAACCCCTGATCCTCCTGCCTCAGCATCTCACACACTGGATTATAGGCATGTGCCACCATGGCCAACTGAAAGACTTTTTTGTTCACTTTTAAAGTGGGTGTTCAGCTCTTGGAAAGTGTTTCATCTTTGAACCTGTTCAGTCTGGTCCCTGCTGGCCCCAGACCTCTGGGCTTAAGTTACCCTACCACCTACCGCCATCTTTGTACCACCACGAAGGCAGGAAAACCTCTGAGATAGGTTAAGAGTGGTGGCGCATGCCTTTAATCCCAGCATTCAGGATCTCTGAGTTCCAGAACAACCAGGATTATACAGAGAAACCCTGTCTCGAAAAACAAAACTAAGAAATGAGACCTAGCTACAATATGGGTCCTGGGTCTGGAACCCAGGTCCTCTGCGACAGTAGCTAGTGTTCCTGACTGCTGAGCCGTGTCTCCAGCCCCCTGGGTCTGCGTTTTACAGTAAAGATTTCAACCCTTCCATAATGACCCGTGGAAGCCAGATGTCGGAGTGGATCGCTGCTCTCTGAGGGACTGACCGAAGGCGATCGTAACTGCCTGCTCTGAGGGCAAGCCTCCAGCCCTCTAGGGAGGTTGTGGAAGCAGGACTTCCTGCCTTCTCTAAGGCCACTGCTGCTGACCCTCCTGGAGGGCTGGCTCTGTGGGAAGCCTGGCTTCCACCAGATCTTTAGGAGATCCCTGTCATCTCAGGACCTGGGCTACCTAGGGAGACAAAGCGGGGCTTACCACACACCCACTCACATTACTGAGGCTTCTGGTAGATTTCTCAGTGAATGCCTCCCCTTTCTCAGGTCATCTGATGGCATGCCCCATCATATTTCCAGTGGTCTCACATCCACACCACATGTCTGAACACATGGCTGGCAATGGAACTGGCTGACATACCGTGTCCCCCACTCGCCCGGTCTGTTAGCTGTCGGTAGACAGCCTAGGCTAGTAAACCTTCCCCGAAGGACTTAGAGTGCCCAGAACTCCATCTGGTGTGTCCTTGTGAGGTGAAGCAAAGAGCACCAGGTTGCACTGCCGGCCACCCCCACTGTGGCTGGATTTATCAGAAGCTGAGAACCAGGTGCACTCTGGGAGACATTCTGACAGCCTGGCCTCTTACCAAGCATCGGGAAGGTCTAGCCTTCTAGCTGGGATCCCAGCCTGCTAGGGTGGAGGGGCAGAAGCCGCAGCAGCTTTAGGCTAGGAGGACATCTTGTCGTCTGGGTCCGACTTCACAGCGGCCAGACTCAATTCCCCAAGGACCCTCGGCATTGTATGCCTTGTCTTGGCCCTCATCTGAGACAGGCATAAGATACTGAAACCTGTGTAAGATGGGCCTTGGGGACTTGATGGGTCCAGACCTGTTCTGGGACCTCACAGTCCCTGCTCCTTGAAAAGAAGTAGCCCTGCCTCCCTCTCCTGCCTGAGGACAGCTGGAAAGAGGACAAACTGACATCCCCAGACAACCTAAGCCTTGGCTGGTTGCCAACCTTGGGAGAGGGTAAGACTTCCAAGAGAAAGTGTCCTTGGAAGTCAGGTATGGTGGCTGTAATCCCAGCACTTGGGAAGCTGAGGCAGAATTGTCATGAGTTCGAGGCCACCCTGGACTATACAGTGAGTTCCAGACTAGCCTGGGTTACAGTGTGAGACCCTGTCTCAAACATCAAAACAGAACAAAATCCCTACTGGCTGATGTTTGCCAGGGGGCCTGAGCCCAATCCTTCAATGGGTCAGGCCTGCCCTGCCCCCCCCCCTTCAGAGCATGCCTCAGGGTGTGATTATTGTTAGGCACAGCCTAACTTGCCCTCAGGTCTGTGACATGGGGAGGTGGGTTGCTATGTGTGAAATAGAGTAAATCAAGCCCCAAAGAATGGAAGGTTCTGGAGTTCCTCTACATCTCCCAACAAGTTGATGTGGAGAGCCACAGGTACTTTCACTGTGCGGATCATCAGGCCTGGCCAGTGTGGGTGGGAAGGCAGCCCTATAGCGCCAGGTGCTGAGTGACAGCTTACAGGGCCCACGAGGGCAGGGCGGGCACAGGCTCTGCTGTCCCCCTGGGCTGTTCCACTGTTACCTCAGCCTAGGCTGGATCTGGAGGAATGGACTAGATGACCCCCACGAGCCCCTGCCCCGATGCTGGAGGTGGAATGTGGGTCACATCCCTTTTCAAAGTCATTGGAAGGTTCCTCCCCTGCCTGCCAAGGTGCTGAAAAGGCCCATTGGCCCACGGCCTCTATACACAGCTTATGAGAGAAGACACCAAGGTTGAGCTTGCTTTATGGGCGAAGGCTGGCTGAGCTGGGCTGGGGATAAAGACAAGGATCTGGGTTTAACTGTTAACATGACTAAGGGCTTGGGGTCTGGGCTGGTGTCAGGCATTCTCACTGTGGGGCCATCAGCCCCGAGGCACAGGGAGATGAGGTGGGAAGGGAAGGGGGAAGGGAAGGGAAGGGAAGGGAAGAAGGGAAGGGAAGGGAAGGGAAGGGAAGGGAA